ATTGAACCTGTGCTGTTGGCAGGTGGGACTGACAGACTAATGATTCAGCAGGTTTGGTTTTCACACAAATTAAAGCAAAAAGCACTAAATACAAGCAACAAGGACTTCTTTGTCAAATGTCAAAGATGGCGCCTCGTACGGTCGACATGGCTCTTTGCTGCTCTCTTTTTCTTTTGTTTTTACTTTTTAACTGCGCATCTGGCTGTTCCTACACCCGTGAGGAACTTATGAACATCCGACCCACCGTCCCCATGGACCTATTGCCTGTTTTCTTGGCATCTGCGGCTGATTTAGTCCATGTTCTAGCCAAAAAAGTGTGGGCTCGTAAAAGGGGAAAGCGCGGAGGCCTGCTCGTGCGTCTTAGGCCTGTTTCACACCGCATGCCGAGCGCAGAGCCGAGCGCCCTTTCTAGCCGAACTACCTCGCGGCGAGCGCATGTATTCAGACTGACGCCGAGCGTGGGCGAAGCGCCTAGACGAGTAGCACGCACAAAAGGAGTAGTATTGTACTCCAAACTAATAAACATGTTGTATATTTACATATGTTGTCTGAAATAACAGGTCAGAAATCAAAATAGCACATGTAGACCTTAAATAAATTGCTAACATTTCCTTATAATGTATCTTATAGCCTATTTTGATTGTCGTTTCATTATCATAGTGTGGTGTTGTTTTTTGTGTATTGGACCTGCCCATGTCTTGAATGTAAAACCCTCGTCACTCCCCCTCCCCCAAAACAGAACAGGTTTAACCTTTGGCCAGAAGCCTAGTCCTTTATGCTGTAGACTTCTTTGACTCGACACGTACTTCTTCTGTAACGTCTTTTGTATTTTTTTGTAAGTATGACATGGAAAATTGTGTAATTAAAAGAATAAACTTATATGTACTTATGCATTACAATAATTAGATTAGATAAACGTGAAATTGCTTTATAAAAGTTATTTTTTGAATATTTTCGTGCTGAAAGCCGCTTCGCTGCGCAGCCTACACGCGGGAAAAATGCGCTCGAGTTCCATTTTTGGTTTCAGGAGCGGAGGCGGCAGCGGCGCGCGCCGATTCCCTGCGCGCCGCCTCGGCGCCGGTCTGTACACAGAAGAGCTTTCTCATTTGCACAACAGGACGCGACTTGAAGCGCAGCTTGCGAATGCACGCGAGCGGGTTTCGAAGACGAATTTGTTCACGAATTCGTGTGCGGTGTGAAACAGACCTTAGGAGGAGAGGAGCGCGCACGGCTCTCCCCGGCATTTTTCTCTCCAACGTACGCTCACTGGGCAATAAGATGGACGAACTCAGCCTGCTCATGAGAAGAAACAAGGACTTCGCCACATCCTGCGTCCTCTGCTTCACTGAGACCTGGCTAAATGAGCGGATCCCGGACTGCGCTCTGGAGCTACAGGGCTTTGGGCTGTTCCGCGCGGATCGCCATTGTGCGCTCTTGGGGAAGAGCAGAGGCGGTGGGCTGTGTTTCTGTGTTTCTACGTCAATATAAACTGGTGTAATGATGTGACAGTGATCTCCAAGCACTGCTCTCCTGCTCTGGAATATCTTTTCATTCATTGTAAACCATTTTACTCCCCTCGTGAAATTGTTTCATTCATTCTTGCCTCTGTTTACATACCGCCATGCGCGGACGCGCGCGAGGCTCAGCGCGCACTCGCAGAGCAAGTACTGTGTATGGAACGTTTATACCCGGACTCTCTGATTATTATCCTGGGGGATTTTAATAAGGGAAACTTGAGCCAGGAATTACCCAAATACAGACAGTTTATCAATTGCCCGACCAGAGTGGAGAACACTCTGGATCACTGTTACACCACCGTGCGCAGAGATTTTCGCGCTGTTCCCAAGCCAGCCCTCGGCTTCTCAGATCACTCCATGATACATCTGGTTCCTGCTTACAGACAGAGACTAAAGCTCTCAAAACCTGCAGTGAGGAGCTCCAAAGTGTGGTCTGATGAAGCTGTGGAAGAGCTGCGCGCATGCATGGAATCTACAGACTGGGACCTTTTCAGAGCTGCCACAAACAGCTTGGATGAATATACGGACACTGTGACGTCATACATCCACTTCTGTGAGGATAGCATCATTCCACCAAGGACCAGGGTCATCTATAACAACGACAAACCCTGGTTCACTGCAAAACTCCGGCAGCTCAGGAAAGCAAAGGAGTCTGCTTTCAGGAACGGGGACCGCAGCGGCTACAAAGCAGCTAAATATCAGTTCAGGAAAGAACTGAAAGCAGCCAAGTCCCGGCACAGAGAACGACTACAGGAGCAGTTTGGTAACAACGATACTGCTTCTGTCTGGAGGGGCCTACGGGAGATCACCAACTACAAACCCAAAGCCCCCCCCTGTGCTGACGACCACAAGCTAGCTGACGAACTGAACTTATTTTTCAGTCGCTTTGATGCTGCCCCTGACACCTCTCCCTCCCCCACCCCCCACTACTCTAACGACCCACCCATCAGCCCTGCCCCCAGCCTAACAATAGCCTCTAAAGAGACTAAACAACTCTTCTTGAGGCTGCACCCCCGCAAAGCTCCTGGCCCGGACCACGTGTCTCCGGCCACTCTGAGACACTGCGCCAGTGAGCTTACTCCTGTGTTCACTGACATTTTCAACACCTCTCTGCAGTCCTGCCATGTCCCGGCCTGCTTCAAATCCTCCATCATTGTCCCCGTCCCGAAGAAGCCCAGGATCACAGGACTCAACGACTACAGACCTGTAGCACTTACGTCTGTCGTCATGAAGTCATTTGAACGCCTGGTTCTCTCCCATCTCAAGTCCTTCACCTCCCCCCTCCTGGACCCCCTGCAGTTCGCCTACAGAGCCAACAGATCTGTAGACGACGCCATTAACCTGGCCCTCCACCACATCCTACAGCACCTGGACTCCCCGGGGACCTACGCCAGGGTCCCGTTCGTGGACTTCAGCTCTGCCTTCAACACAATCCTGCCATCCCTGCTCCAGGACAAGCTCTCCCAGCTCAACGTGCCCGATTCCACCTGCAGGTGGATCACTGGTTTCCTGACGGACAGGAAGCAGCGAGTGCGTCTGGGGAAGAATGCCTCGGACTCTCGGATTATAAATACAGGAGCCCCACAGGGTTGTGTTCTTTCTCCCCTGCTCTTCTCCCTGTACACCAACCACTGCACCTCCAGCCACGACTCCGTGAAGCTGATCAAGTTCGCGGACGACACCACCCTCATTGGACTCATCTCCAACAACGATGAGTCCGCCTACAGGAGGGAGGTGGACCGGCTGGTGTCCTGGTAACAACCTGGAGCTGAACGCCCAGAAGACAGTGGAGATGATTGTGGACTTCAGGAAGAGCACTGTCCCCCCGCCCCCACCCTCCGTGATGGACTCCCCCATCACCTCTGTGGAGTCCTTCCGTTTCCTGGGCACCACCATCACCCAGGACCTCAAGTGGGAGCCGACCATCAGCTCCCTCATCAAGAAGGCCCAGCAGAGGATGTACTTCCTGCGGCAGCTCAGGAAAGCCAAGCTGCCTGCACAGATGCTGGTGCAGTTCTACACGGCCATCATCGAGTCCATCCTCACCTCCTCCATCACTGTATGGTTCGCTGGAGCCACAGTCAGGGACAAACAGAGACTACAGCGCATTGTGCGCTCTGCAGAGGAAGTGATCGGCCGCAGCCTTCCATCGCTGCAGGACCTGTACGTCGCCCGAGCTCGAGGCCGGGCTGGTCGTATCACAGCCGACCCCTCTCACCCTGCACATGGGCTATTCCAACCACTCCCCTCAGGCAGGAGACTGCGGTCCATCAGGACTAGAACCTCCCACCACAAGAACAGTTTCTTCCCCTCTGCTGTTGGACTCTTGAACACTTCTTAACCTGTCCCCCCGCCCTTTATAAAGTCACTTTACTGCCCATCATACGTCACTTTACTTCACTGTACTGCTGTCACCTTACATTGTGTGCACCATGTGCACTTGTATATAGTAAATAGTAACTGTAACTATATTTTAAATTTAAATTTATTCTTTTTAAACTTATTTTTATTATCTCTTTCTGACTGTTGCACTGAGCCAAAGCAATTTCCAAGTCTGTGACCTCCTGTTACTTACGTGGCAATAAAAATGATTCTGATTCTGATCTGATTCTTTGTTTTCTAAATCCAGGCCAAATCATTGGAATTCTGGTTTTAAACATATTAGTCCCACTTAACTTAACTCACACTTCCCCTTTTGCACATGGTTTGAAAAGGTGGACCAGACCATGGAAGATAATCGTATTTGCATTTGAAATAATGCTCACGACTCCCTTATACCACTGTTTTATTTATACTGGTAAACATCAAACAGAAACAACAGCGAAATCAAGAGTCCTCCCACATGTGTGAATAGCATTTTTCTTACATTGACAAGTTCATTTACAACAGTTGTCATTGGCAACCTGATAATGGTGTAAGTAAAAAAAAATATGGAAAATAACATTGTCAAGAGTTAGTCGATTTGTTCCATGGAGGCCATTCTGCTCCTGTCGGCTTTTTGGAGTTGTGCTGTTCAAATCACAGGAAGTCAGAGGGGACAGGGATCCTGTCCCCTCTGACTTTTTATGGAATTATGTAATAAAACTATTGATCAAACTGGAGGGCAGTATCAGGCTGTGCCACAAATGCTGCATTGTGCTATGTGTGGATAGGGGGCGCTGTCTCTACATTCTGTGTGCCGATGGAATGGAGCGAGTCCAAACCAGCAGCAGTTTTTAAGACGCAAGCGCAGAGGAGAGCTGTGTCCTGAGGAGGAGAGAGGGTACAGTCCCTCCTCCCATAGTCTATTATACAGCCAGTCCATACTGCATCACACGAGATATACAGCTGTCAATCAAACATTTGTACATGAAGTTATTTTATACATTGTTGTGCCTTTAGATCATTATAAAGAAGATTTAGAGGTTATAATGTAAAAACAGAAGTGAAACATTCCTTTAGCCCTGCAGAGCAGAGCCTATCAGCCCCGGGGGGCCGGGGGGATCATAGTGTACTCTCCAGGAGCCACTCAGAGCGGGACAGGGGCCCCCGGGCCAGCTGTGTGTGTGTGTGGATCTGCGGCAGGTCTCCGCTCATGGACAGGCTGCGTTTGGAGCGCAGGCTTCCTCCTGCTTTGGCGTACGCCACGTAACAGCGGTCTGTGTACGAGTCTGCGTTCAGAGAGTGTCTACGGTGCACCCTCACGCCCCCTGCTGGCACAGTCATGTACTGACGCTGGTGCGGCCGTGGGCCCCTGGGGGCTCCGCTCCATCTGAGCGGCTGCCCCGCAGACAGCCCGATCAGTGGAGCCCTCTTCGGGTCGGAGGAGTTGTTGCGGTTCATGTTGTCAAGCTGCAGAGCCTCGAGAGGATCCGGTTTGGGGGCCGAGCGCTTGAGGCGCGTCACCCCGGGAGACGCTGGGTGCCAACTGTGACTCACTGCAGACGACGAAACGATGCAGTCGGGCACAGAAGGCTTCAGAGGGGCCCCAGAGGAACCCTTCAGAGGGGCCCCACAGGCCTTCAGTGGAGCCCCAGAGGAGGCCTTCAGAGGGGCCCCAGAGGATTTGACTGCGGTGTTGGAGGGTTTGGATCCTGTGGTGGGGTTCTTGGAGGCAGTGATGGGGGCCATGTTGGGAGCCACTGCAGAGGGCTTGGGGGCCACCACAGCCGGCCTCTGTTTGAGCGGCTCGGGAGGCGGCAGAGCCACTCGTAAACACTCTTTGTCGTTCTTGTCGGGACGCAGCGCCTGTTTGGACACAGACTTGGGGAGACCGCAGCCCTGCAGCTGACCGTCACTGCTGAGCGAGCGCATGTCTCCCATCTCCAGAGCCTGAGGACACACACAACACTGATGAATGATGTTAAGTAAAAGTTTTATGAGCTGAATGTGTCACACTGACCTTATCTACGTCTCCCTGGTTACACACACGGTAACGCACAATAAGGAAGATGATGAAGGCGAGGACCGAGGCCACGATGATGCCTCCGATGATGACTACGATGGTTCCGCCCAGAAATTGTGACTGCATGAAGTGACAGCGCAGGTACTGCGGCTCAGTGCTGAAATGTAAGCAGCCAATGACCCGCGTGGCGGTGAGCGATGTCACCTGGTCATCATAAATGGCCAAAACGCACAGATCGTACTGCGTCCCAGCCGCCAGGTTGTTCACCAGGATGCTCTGACTACTTGGAGGGATCATCCTGAGAGAGAGAAGAGAGAGGGGGTTTGAGTTACACATTCATTTAGAGAAACTACTTTTCCAGCAACTATTGAGCTGGGAATGTGGCTGTGTCACATTTTGCTCACAGGCTCAATGTAAATCTATAAAGAAGCTCCTATGGCAGGCTCCCTGCGCACACATGGTTTTCATTCATTTTTCGCAATGAAACGCACATAACAAACACCCATGCGATGACTTTAAATACACTAGCTACCAACCAGGCCAGAAGGTCATTCTGTGAAACAAATTCAAGATATTTGGCTCCAAAACTAGCCAATATGGAGGCTCTTCTAATCGGCTTCGTCCACATTTGGTAGCCACTAAATGTGATTACCAAATGTGAATTACCAAATGATTACCACTAAATGTCCACCCCTTCTATTTTCACCTCCATCCCTAATCTTCTAACATTATAATGTCATTTAAAACACAATGATATCTGTGAGAAGTGAACTGTTACTTTTCAAATTGTTAGGACACCAGTTAGACCCGCCCACGCTCAGCCTGTCTGCTTCTTGATTGGACATAACTCATTTTAATTAGTTCTGTCCCCATTGGTTTAACTTTTGTCCTCCAGCAAATCTTACTAGAGGTGTTTAAGCAAAAGGACTATATTAAATACATTGGAGCATACATTACATTACAGTCACTGACATCATCTTTTAGAAAAAACATAAATATACCAAAAAATATTTCAACTACAACGTGATCCTCTGTGTGCCTAAAGTGAATAAGTCTGTTCAAAATGATTTAAAATGACATCGCTGTAACATGCGGCAGATTAGCCGAGCGGGCGAGGGCTAATCTGATTATACCGTTTATTGTTCGGTTTGAATAAAAATGACAGGAAATCAATGATCTCAGGCGGTTTAAATGAGTCTAGGGCTTTTCCCTCCATGGTGTTGGCTTCATTCTCTTCATAGTAATTATACAGATAAGGCTGAGACATGGGACCTCTGGATTACAGGCTTTTTATTCATACTAGCTTCATGCGTGCACAATTACATCATGTTTATCACTAATGAAGACATGAAAGGTGCTTGAAGCAGAGGAAAATCACACCAAAACATTTCAAAAGAATGGTTGCAATCTGCAGCAATGACAAACTCTCCCAAACGACATACCACTGGCTAATCTAAGAAAATGTGGTTGACCATTAATAGCGGACTAGCTTATGTTAAATAACTTTTTTCAAAAACCTCCATAAGAGAAGGAAACAATGGAAACCACTGGAACTTGAGAGAAACTTAAATAAACTTCCAGAGTTTGGCGCACCACGATCCGTCTCTGTCTGGGTTATTCCTGACAATAAGATAAAGCTAAACGTCAAAAATACATGTAAAATAATATCCACAGATGTAACGTTTTATACTTTCTGCCCATGGCCAGCTTCTTTTTCAATTTGTCACTGATCAAAATTAGTTTGGCACATCTGGGAGTCAAATGTTCAGAGCGACTGTCAGGGGTGAAAGAATAATAAGAGGAACCAGGAAGCATGGAGGGGGCGCCAAGGGAACCTCTACAACAAAATGTCCAGTCCATCCAAGGAAAATACTTTTATCTGCATGGGTGAGGAGAAAAGAGTGCTGGGAATATTTGGCTCTCTCACGATACAATTTCAAATACATAATGAGACTATATTGCAATATCTAATAGTTTTTGCAAAGCCCAAGTCGAGAAACTCCTCCTGAGCTGAAGTTATTATTGAACTCCTGTGAGTTATTACTCACAGAAAAAAACAAAACATCATTCTGATTCTGATGAGATAATGTTACATGTAGAAAGGTTGAGCTGACTTTAGGTTTCTCTGGATGTTATCATTCAGACTGTGGCAGTTGCATCAGGATTGTAAGAGAGTATAAATAACTTAAACATGATTCACTAAAACCAAATATGACTGTGTAGACGAGAAGGAAAAATAACTGTAACAACTCTTCACAACAAAAGCTGTGAAGAGTGGACCAGGACAATACGTCCTCTTTAACCTGCACCAACTGCCCCATCACACATCTGACACCACATAATTCCATGGACGTATCTGAGCTCCCGTTTAGCGTCGGCGGCACACATCCGGAAGATTGTGCCGATGAGGCGTTTTAAGGCTTTAGCGCTCTGTAAGTGATCCATGCGGCCTGTGGGGGGATTACATGGGGTCAGTCACTGTCCATTAGTGGGTGATCCTAAACGGGTTACCAACATGCTAAGGGAAACGGCTGAGCGGAGGTCTTGGCTGCAACTGCAACGTTCTTAGTATAATCCCTTTTATGCCTGAATTATAATAAGATACTTCAAGATTGTTCTGTGATCAAGTGTTTACTACTTTAAAACAGTAAAAAAATAAAAAAAGAATAAAAAATCTATAAACATGCTTTGCAGACACGTGGGTTGCATGTCGAAAGTTCGGACTGATCATAATTTCTGGTTTGATAGTTAACATGATTTTTTGCTTTATTGTTTTTACTTTATAAGAAACATTTTTATGCACTACAAGTACAAAACCTTGACGCACTACAAGTGCATACAGTTTACCATAAATAAAACTGTAGTCCAAACATAGCTTGTGATGCCTGAGGTTGATCTAGTGAACACATGATTTATCACAATTTCCTCAAATCAGAAAATCAATAGGTGTTTTAACAGTTATATTACTTCATAGTTGGTACTTGATGCCCAGATATTTTGTTTCTTCAAGGCTCTCCTAGAATAGATGGACAGATATCTCTCCCCCACAGGACACATCTGCTATTCTGGTCAGCTTTCTTTTTTCTTTTTTTTTCTCATGTAAATTGACCAGTAGGTGGCAGTATGTATGCCATACATACTGACATCCAAATGATGCACAACAGTGACGTGGACTCAAACATAGGGCTGAAATATTGAATTTTTGTTATTTCTCTATACCAATTCATATTCAGAAAGTAAGTAGAGCACTATTGATGCAGTTACATATTGTAAAAAATTACGTTAGATAAGGTTTAGATTTATTTTTTATCCGATGTTAAACCTGTCCTTTGCACTAAAAAGGTTGGCGATTGCTGCAGTAGAGCAAAGAGGCATTGTTTTTCCTGGCTCGTTTGGAAAACGCCCCATAATCACAGCCCAATGGATCAGTTTCAGACTCGCATGCCGACAAGAATCGTGAGGATGACGTAGTCAGGCTGGTGATCACTCTGCAAGAAGGGAAGATTTTGTGGGGAAAAAAATTAAGTTTTACACTTAAGCTTTATTAGTCCACTTATTTAATTTGTTTTCTTTCATTAATACTGTCCGTAAAACACTGTGGGGGTAAAAAGGTTTATATTCTAAACTGAAATATTACTATTACTTGATCCAAATTAGAATTCTGTCTCCATGAAGTCATTTTATTAGTTATTAATATGGATTTAAAACTGTGGTTAGAAAACTTAATTTTGAATCCTTTTAATATCAAGCATTTCTCCAAACTTAAAATCTACCAGAAATCTTCTCAACTTAACACAGTCAAAGGATATTAAAGCCGAGATGACATTATGGTAATTAGACGACTGTGAATTATTCATTCCTGAGAGTTCGCGCAGGGAAAGTGCATTCTTAGTGTATTCGGTCGACTTGCACAGAACAGAAGCCTTCATTAGAAAGACCCAGTTTATTACCTGCTCATGAAGGAGAATTGAAGAAAGGCATGTCAGATGTATTTCTATATTTCATAAACAACCTCTCTGTGTGATCATCACAACAGTTTAAAATGAGCTGGAAGACGACTGCAGACTTTGACCTGGATTATGCTCAAAGATCATGAGCTCCATACGAAAATGAAGCTCAGACATAAGAATGTGCTTACAGTGGACAATGTTGTACTTCTTCATTCAATTCAGCTTGATTGGACAAGACACTCGCACTCCGATTAAGGTGTGAAAAACCAGTTCGTTTGGAGTAAGTAGATCGAACATTTGTACGTTTATACTGGCACGTAACCATGACAACCCACTACTGAGACAAGAAAAGCAGATGCATTTAAGAGCCATAAAATGTATGTATTTGAACGCATATAAAGGCCACTCCCTATTTTGACAATTTTTATGAAATACAGTCCCTCTGCATGAGTTTCATTGTTTTGGTTTTGATTTGTATATAATTATGCTGCAGAAATGAAAAGACTTACTCAAAGTAACAAGATTATATTTGACAAAAGTCCGTTATACATTTCATATGAGAGACATTTTGTTTACAATTACTGGTATAAAGTTTGAGTGCTAAGTCAAAGACTCCTTAGAAAGTGTCAAACAAACGTTTGTAACCTCCTCCGCTCCGCTGGGCTCATGTGACCATTGCGACACGGCCACTGTAATACATTCTTGGTTTCCTTGTTCTCTGAAACTGTAATGAGCGGGCGTGCAACAGTTTTACACAATCACCTCACTTCGAACGCTGCGGCTTATTCTCAGGTGCAGCTTAAGTTTTTTGTGGTGCCGAAATCATTTTGCCAAGTAACAGTAGACCAACAGAATTGATGAGTAGGTCATGGAGGTCCAATTAAATTGTATTGTGTGTCAATCAGTCATTTGTAGTCATTTGGAAAATACAAAAAGAAAAGAATTTAATTTGAAGTACAGCAAAACTTTTGTTGAAAGGCTAAATGCTAACTGCTATGGTAACTAGCTGACTCTGCTCAGGACCAGTGAGGACCTTTTGCATTGCATTACCAATACAAACTATGGGGTATGTAAAGCCTAGTGTACATCGACAGAGTAACTGGAGAAAACTAGTTCCAAGGCGGCTTTTGGCAACTGAGAGTGGATGATGGGAGATGATCAGTTGCCGAAATCGGTCGATGTGAGCGCTCTTACAACAGGAGATAAACAGTCGATCTCCGGATTCAGTCAGTTGCCCGTGTTCTACTTTTCGGCAACTAGTTGTACTCAGATCCGGAGATATCACCCGATGTGCGCGCTCCAACAACATGTGTTGAGAGTGTTATCATGTGACGTATTGCGCGCCCTCTACAGTTTATGCCAGAAAACACTGTTGTTGACGGCCAGTTGCTGTCGATGTACGCGCTGTTATTCCAGAGACTGGCCTGCTACTAGGAGTTGCCCGTTTTCGCCAGATTGTCGATGTGTACGGGGCAGCAACTCATAGGCGACGGATATAATCAGTTGCCAGTCCGATGTACGCTAGGCATAAAGGGGCCTAATCAAGCTTTCTGACTTACTGTAGCTCTGCTTTAAACATGATTACAGTGCTATTTGGCCTTCATACAAATGCCCAGAGTAGTTTTTTGAATGATTCCTTCAAGCTTTAGTTGAAGAACTGTGAGAAAATCCTCACAAAATCTGACCTTAATGAGAGCTGTGGGTTCTCTGTCAGCTGAGGTCGAGCTGTTTTGAATTGAAATTATTTGAATAGTCTGCAGTACCACGAAAATCCCCCGAGCACCTGGGTCCTTCAGCTCCAAGCTAGTAACACCCTATCCAGATATTACAATCGTTCCATGACCCATAAGCCCTCCCATGTGTTCCAGTAGTAGACCATTTAGTAAAACTACATTTAGCATTGTATTAGTAATAGTATTATTGAATATGTTACATCTGACAGTTGTTAAAAAGTTATATTAAGGTCACTTTTTTTAGGCAGGTTTTCTCCTGCTCCAGCACTAGAAACAGGCCATGTCTCACCTGTAGACGAGGGAGTCGTCGTAGGTCCCGTTGTACTGGATCTGGAACATGCGTATTCCTGGGATGCTCCTCTGGAAGTTGAACTTGACGAGCGCAGAGGAGGAGGTGGCTTCGGCGATCACCACCTTCTTCTCCTGGCTCGTCTTGGCGTTGCTCAAGGGCACGTTGCCGGGCTCGGTCTTGGTCACCGTGGCGATATCAGAGGAACCCGGGTCAGGCTCCTGGTCGACTGCCGTGCTGTTGGTGATGTGAGGCAGCTTGTCGATGCGCAGCTCCACGGTCTGCTGAGCTTCTCCCGCCGGGTTTGAGGCCACGCAGGTAAACGAGCCTGAGAGAGACAGGAACAAACTCATCAGAATGCGTACTTTAACAAACATAACTTTCAATACACAACAAATTATGTAATAAAATCCATGTAACTATAGTTTGTGGCTCGAGATCTGTTTGGTTCTATCACTCGTTTTCAAGTGTATATCTTTAAGCCCACAGTTACATTTTTAGATTTTTAGACAGAAAAGTAAAAAGAGAGGACCACTCTCACTCAGCAGGAAATAGAGACTCATTTCTTACAAGTTTACAACGGATAAAAGGTTTTTTGAATAAGATTGAGACAGCATGTTGCATTGTGGTCTTTTTTTTATCACAAAACAATACTTTTGCCTCTTTGTTTAGGGACAAACAAATAGTATTCAAATCAAAAATATATAAAAGTTAAAGTTAAAGAGTAAAACTTTCAGCTTATTATCCAAAAGATAAGATAAGACAGACTTTATTGAGCTCACAATGGAGAAATTTACCAAAAAGAGTATTTTTATGACTGCTGTGGCATAGAAATAGGTACTTTTTCTTTTGTTGAAATGGCGTTAGAAATTCAATATCATCAACAACACTACTGCCCTTCAGTACATGGCATTTAAAAATACATATATGTGGATTTCTTAATCATCCCTTTTTTGAGGGGGTCGTTATTCGAAAGAAGTGTCTGATTATCCGACATGTTTGTCCAACTGGAACTCGGGCTCTGAACACAAGACGACAGGACCATCTGTTTTTCAAAACTGAACTTGGAAACATTTTGCGTCTCAAAAATGAGGGGGTGGAGCCAAATAAGCATCTGCTTTGTCCAACTGCGTATTTATGTTTAGTTTCAAAACATTCGCAAAATTGGACACTGGTTCCACCTCACATCATTTGGTTTTAGAAGTGTCTAAACATCACTGCTTTACCGTTAGTAATTATTGTAGTTTGAAAGAGACTTTGGATTTCTCATCTACTCTCCCTGTAAAAATAAAGCTAATATAGAGGGAGAAAAACAAAACCTTGTTTTGATTTATATTTTAAGTATTTTTTTGGAATTTAATGAGGTTTTTGGAACAAGATTGTGTGTGTACAACCCCTGTAACAGCTTCACCTTAAAAAAAGTAAGAAAGAGCACCACTCTTACGAAGCCAAAGTGTCAACATTGATTTGGCTTGTGACCCTTACCTTGGCTGGGCTCCTAACCCGCAGCCTAAGCACCAATTCAACCATTTAATCACCTTTGAGCAGTGAGGAAAAAACCTCCAACACTTCCCTTCACTCCCGCCTCTGTTAAGACTCACCCAAAGATTACAATTTGCCTATAAATAATCTGTGAAGAGATGGCCCAACCTTGTCCTTGAAGGGGACAAAGTTTTCCATCATTCGCCCACCGTAAACTTTATCAGTCACAAACACGCTTTTATTATGAGCAAACAGCTCATTCTGCTCTGTCAATACAAGCAGCACCTTGAAAAACAGCAAAGTCCTTGACAAAAACACAAATACAAATCTGTGAGAGGAAGACGTTTGGTTGAGTGTATTTTATATTTAGAATTTTAAAGGCATGATATTGTACAATGCTAAATAGTGATTATTTCTGTAGCTATTTTTCACGGTACAGTAAACTGGATTATCTCACTTTTTTGTTTCATAAATAAATAAATAAAGTCAGAAAACAGAAAAAGAGTCTAAACTCTTAAGAGTTAAAGTAACACATTTTCAGACCACAACATGCTGTGTTTATTGTTACTTATAGAACGCATGTTGTTTGTATAAACTGAGAGATAAGAGAGGTTGGTCCACTTTTCTGTCTAAAAAAAGCTGATTTAAAAATGTGACAGAGGTCAATAACACATGCACGTGGAAACTCGTGAGAGAAGCATTAGAACTGTCCAGAGAGAAAGGACAGATGTATTGATAGTTAGTTTCTTGTGGTTCAGTGAGAGGTACTCTGGCTTTAAAGGAGACACAACCCAATTCTGTTGGTTGTGTCTCCTTCTACAATCTTTTCTTTCTCCCTCGGCTTTTTATTAAACATATGATCCATATGAAATGTTTGAATTGAGCTAAAACTATGTTCAATCAATAAATCATTCTTTATTTATAGAGCGCTTTTCCTACACAGGGTAACACAAAGCGCTTCACAGTCCACACCACAGAAAGCACAGAATGTTATAAAATAAATTAGTCAAGTGGTTCCACCACAAGTCCTCTTGACCCACGTAGCCCCGTCCCCTTTGGCTCTGCGCCACATACTGTATCACGGATTCAGAACAGAATTTTTATTTTTTTTAAACACTGCTGTAGCTCAGAGCTTTTTATTTTTCTTTTATAAATATATATGTATGCTAAGACATAGTTGATTTGCCAGGGATTTTATAAAACCGTTTTCTGTCAGAGAGAAAAACTAAAACTATACAAAATGTAACATACATTTTTAAGACGGTGGCCGAGCTCTGACCTGAGTCCTTGACAGTGCTGATGAGGATGTCCAGTGTCCCGTCCGTGTGCACGTTGGCCCGGGACGAGTTGGACATGAGGCGTCCGTCTGGGGCGATCCAATGAATGACCGGGTCTGGGTCTCCTCTGGCCTTACAGCGCAAGGTCACACTCTGGCCCTCCAGCGCCCGAAGTTCCTGAGACAGACACGTGGTTAGGGGAGTGCTTGGGTCTGTGACGGGGGATGGCAAAGGATCTCAAAGATTAACATTGGCACTAATACAAGTTGTCCCTCCAAAATCACTGTGTTTAAATGGGATTGGAGACAATGAGAAAGTTTGTGTACTGAGACACGAGCGGCCTGAGCCTGCATGTACAGTATACTATTTTGCCTGTTATCCAAAAATTGAGCGACAGATTATTCTTATTAGAGAGTTAAAAATAGGGTATATAATTTGCTTTGAATGATACAAGGTTATATGAGAGAAAATGTCTTCTGCTACTGAGACATGAGTTACAAATATGCAGTAGTAATTGGATTGGTAAAAAGCAATTTACTTTGATGTTTTAGGTTGTTTGAGAAGCCGCCAAAGGAAACAACGTTAGTGTAGTGAGATGTCAATAAAATGGTGATTTATTTTTCTTGCAGATTCAAATGTTTTTTTCCTCTTTTTCTTAATTTTGGGCCTATATTTTATTATATATTCTCAACCAAAACAGTCAATCGTTGACTGTTTTGGTCAACGAATTGATCTCACAATTTCTCCATTGTGAGATCAATAAAGTTTATCAAATCTTATCTTGTATATGTTCTTTTTGTTGTTGCTTATTATAGATAGATAGATAGACAGATACTTTATTGATCCCCCGTAGGGAAAATTCAAGTGTCCAGCAGCAGAAGACTCATCCAGGTTTGTTGTACAGTCTGACAGCCGAAGGAACAAAGGATCTTTTTAAACGTTCCGTTCGGCAGCGCAGTGAAATAAATGTTATGATATAATTGGTACATTTGAAATTCAAAACATAGACTGTCAGCCTTAATAATAATAATACATCAAACTTAAATAGCGCTTTTTTGGACTCTCAAAGACCGTAAGAGGCTGATTAGAACTAGCTCACACAGGCTAATTGAGCAGGAATGTGGGAGTGTCTTGTTAGATTACATGTTGTTACATCTGGATTTACAAAGACAATAACATAATAAAAATACCAGGTTCAATGAGTGCGCTAAACTATGGATTTAGAAAGTTCAAAATGGTGAGTGTAAGTTACGCAAACAATTACTGAGTTAGAGGAGGTTACTTTTCATCGTCAATAGGAGCCAGAGCAAAACTATGTCCATGAGCACTTCCCTATTGGGCTTCATTGAGATAGGGGGTTAGCATTGTCCATCTATGTACAGTCTATGATCCAAAACAATGGCCCCAATGATCAAAGGCCCAGCATGCTCTGCTCAGACCACAAATGAAGCATTCCTGTGGACATTGGTTAATCTGCTTTTTTTACCAATGACTTTCAATATTTAGATTTTCTTATCTGCTTTTGGCAAGTTAACAATTTTATTAAGCCCTTAGAGATGACTGCAGTTGTGATTTTGAGCTGTACAAAAATAAATAGATTTTATCTTTGAATTAGCGGTCAGCCATAATTTTCTCCTTTGAACGTAAATACCTGAACAACACAACCCGACACTTCCAAATAATCCGTTTACAGTAGATTCACAGAAAATATCGTCGTAAAGAAAAAGGCCATGTACACACAGAAACAAAACGGCTGATGTGAAAAGTCTATTAAGCATGTTATGTCCCCTTTAATCTGTATCTTAATACAGCTATTTACAAGACAGATTAAAGAAGCGTCGGGTGGTTTAACCCTTGAATTTATTTGTTCTTTTCTTCGTCAAACAAACACATCTATGGCTTCTCATTTACATTCTGGGGTTTGCATACTTATATTTACTTGGCCGGTAGAGCGTTTTCTATTATGCCGATTAGCGCGGTTTCACGGTCATGCTAAATTCAACTTGACATTGGTGATTCATTGTTTTGGTGCCTGTTTACAAGTGCAAATTATCTGTAAAGCAATTTAGGGAATATTATTTTCTAAACGCCCAAATGGCTCATAGTAGCAGTGTTCCAAGTCTCAATGCATATGTAATATGGTTTAAAGAGCCATTTTTTTTGGCATTTCATTTTTGTTTATTTTGTGGATAACACGACATTGCAGCAAGATCTAGATGTAAAACTAACATGGCAGAATCAGTTGTGCGGTGTATTGAGCCAAGTCCGCACATTGGTTTGAATATTAAATGCATTGATCTACAGTTTCCAACGGGGGGGGGGGGGGCCTAAATGAACCCACCAATCTTCATTTAAAGAGATCCTTTCATACAAAAAGGTTTGGCAAACACAAAATGCTTCACAGGTCATACAAATATTAAATGGTTGGATTTCAGACCCAACAGCACTATACCCTAATCGGAATGCAGTTGGAGAAACTTTTTATTCAGAGCAGAGACTTTTGTTTAAGAAGGTAGACAATGGCAGATGTTTTGTTGTAGCGAAACACGTTTGAGAACAGCAGCGACAGGGATCATAGGATTGTCATTTTGTCAACTGCACATTAGAAAAGAATCAGAATCAATTTTTTGCCATTTGCCGAAAAAACTACATTGGAATACAACTCTCCCCTTAGACTCTCCTTAGACCCTCCTGCATCGGAAGGAAACTCAGTGGGAGAACCCAGGGAGAGCCACATTGAGAGGCATCCACTCCCATGGACGGACAGCCTAACCCGACAATAGAAAGCTCCTGACTGATCAATAATTATGGGTTGTATCTGAATTTACAGAGACAACATTGAAATAAAAACAGCAAGATGATGTAGATTGTTGGCAATTTTAAGCCCAAAATGGTGAGTGTCAAACGATCAGAAGCAGATATTGGACACCAAGAAACAGTAACTAAATATTGATATGGGAATGGTACACACACCATCAGCATAGCTCTTTTGATACTTTTCCCAATTTAACCAATTTATCTGCACATTTAATCCAGTGCTGTTGCTTCTTATACACAAATACACTTATCTCTATGGCGAACTTGTTTGTTTCTCTAAGTGACACCATTTTCTCCTGGACTTTCGGAAAAGATTGTTACGTGTCCTCCACCCACTGGCTTCTGTGATGTTTTCTTCTCGTCAGATGAATTGTGTGAAAACCGTTGTTAATCTTTTGATAAAGTCATAGTTTGGGAACAAATGGTGGCACAGACACAAGGTCCAGACATTCACAATACATTGGAAACGATAGTGCAGGGGATTTGTCACTTTTTGTTTTTCACTCGAAACATTGTTTGTGGTGTGAAATGCAGCCAAGTGCTTAGAAAGAATATAGTGCACAGAAGACAGAGGGGGCCTCCCTGTAATGGTGTCTTTGAAATGTGTTTATGTGTTAATGTGTTCCAAACTCTTGTACAGTTCTACAGAATAAAGCAGCATTTTAGACTAGACAAGGTCACAACATCATCCCTCAACCTGAGCCCTGTTTCTAGATGCAGTGTTGGCAAATTCAAATTGAGTAACCCAAAGTTACTCGATGGCTTCATTGTGTCTTGAAGTCATCTTAAGAGTTCCTTTATTCGTCCCACTGAAGTGTCCATTACGTGCGTGCGTGTTCTCATTAAAGCTGAAGTGAACGATGAACAACTAATCACAAACATGGATAAAACACACCGCTCGTATAAATAATAATGGCAAAATATGATGACTACATGCAAAATGGAATGAAATGCAAAATCTAACCTTGCCTGCAAGCTGAATTCTCGCGGTATTTGTGAGTTCACAAACACTCGATATCGCGGAGAACGCGTTAGAGTTCTACACAATCATCAATCTGGCTCTTGCCAGGTTATGCAAAATCAGCCTGCAAAATGACCGACACTCTTCTCCAATGCTTCCTCTCAGCCGCAATTGTGCAATGCTATTGTGGTCTCTGCGCACAGAAACCTCTATCCGTGCATCGTGTAGTTATTTTTACAGTGTAAGGTCTGCGGTGGATTCACACTAGAAAGAGTCACAGATGACATCTCTATGATTGTGCTGCGGAGATTATTCATACTGTCCGTGAGTGAGGGAGAAGCCCCGGCCCAACAAAGCATGGCTTTGAACCAGAACCAGACGAGGACCTTGCTCACACTGTACTTTGTGGGTCTTGCGGGTCTGGGTCTCTGTGGCGCTGCACGGCGCTCCACACCCACCCACACACACACCCACACGAATGCACACAAGCACACGCACGCACACACACGCACACACACGCACACAAGACTGACCTTAGCCAGAGGCCTGATGAACAGGAGATTCCTGGTTACGCCCATCTCTTTGCCCTTTTCCCAAAGTACATCCATCACTTTTGTTGTGGTGTTTGGGCTTCTTTTCTCAGCTATTATGAAATTACTTTGTTGGTCAGGCAATATGACCAACAATGATGAAATATTATCTTCAGATATTAAAGTAGAGGTTTGGGCACTCTGCTGGTGCCTAGAGTCAGAACTAAACATGGGGAGGCTGCATTTCAGAAACATGCAGCTAAAATCTGGAACAATCTTTGGCACTTTGAGTTGCCTTGTGTATGAATTGTGCCATACAAATAAACTTTCCTTGCCTGAATGAATATATACTCTAATTAGTATATGAATATAACAATTCTATCAAGAAAATGTAATTAATTCAACCTCATCAATGAAAGACCGGGCGTAGATGCACCATGTTCAGGATGAATATTGAACTGAATTGTAAAGCTGATGTGTGTTAAATAAATGGAATCAAAGCCGATGGATCAAGGTGTGAATCATTTCAGATGATGTCACCTGCTCACATAGCTCTTATTTCACATTCTAAACTATGAAATGCCAAAGTAAATTGTGTGTCATTATTGTTTGAATCAAGGCTAAATATAATGCATAACTTTTTCCCTTTAAAAGGTACACTACATGTGTTTTGGGTAGAAAATTACTCTTCTCCAAATCCTGCCAAAAGACACCCCCAAGACTGAAGTTCTCTGAGTTCTAAACAATCTACCAGTAAAACCTGCATTGGAAGAGGAAAAACCTTAAAGTTGTATGCAGCACATATGCATAAAACCCATTAACAATGACTCTGGCCCCTCGTGTGACAGCAGCCGATTGCCCATAGTTCCAGATCGTTCCACTTCGAGCAAATGCAAAAATTAAACTTATTAGCACAAATCAATTAGTCACTTTTAGTTTTTTGACTGTATTTCATAATATTAAATAGTCACCTAAACCCACTTTAGTCTTGATTTCATGTTTGGCTTATCTCAGTTGAATGGAGTTGATTTACAGAAAACCATTTCCACACAAGCTTCACGGTTTATTTTAAACTTTTTTAATGATTTAACTGAATAGCTCTCCTCTCTCCCCATAGACTGTACACCGCTGCTGCTGTGCTGAGAGCCGGAGGGACACAAGAGACGAGGAGGAAGCCCTTCTCTGAATTAGACCTGCATATATTTGATACAATTTTTTTTAAAATTATTTTTCTACAAACACTAGAGTTTAAAATATTCTCATAGAATATATTGAACTCTAGTGAACACATGTGGAAGAGTTTGCTACTTATAGCTGATTAAAATATGTCTTGTGGCATTTTTGCTCTTGCGAGGTCTCGTGCCACTTCCTCTCATCATTATTCTCATCCATTATTTTCGCTTATCCTGAAAGAAGATCATTATCTAAATTCTTTCATAGCAACTACCTTTGTAGATTCAGGTTTTGTCTTTCCCCACTCATGCTGATAGAGCCTTATTAGAATTAATCAAACTCATGATTTAGCCACAAAGCTATTATTCTTCTTCTATTATAACATGAGATTGAGAGGGGATTTCCATCCATCCATTTTATTCCCCTTTATTCATTCCTGGATCTGTCAATACACAGAGCACCAGCCCCTCACTGATCCTCCTGCAGGTGGTGAGTCCACAGGCTGCTCTGTCTGTGAGAGCATAACTTTGATATTTCAGTGGGGGCTTCAGGCAAAGTGGGGTCAAGTGTCTTGCCCAAGGACACAACCACAGCAAACATCAGTGGGAGTCATGGAGAAGGGTTCGAGCCCACAATCTACAAAAGCTATTATTCTGACAAAGCATGCAATTGAGATGGGATTTACAATATATTTTTTGAAAAGTTACAGTTTTTTATTGACTATAAATGTATATTTTATGGGGATTTTGTGTTTTTTGAGCCTTGATTATACAGTGAAGTACTGTGGTCACTTTGTGTGGAAAGTCCTCTATAAATAAAGGTTTTTTGCTTTATTAACACATTTGAGATGCCATTACTCTCACCTAATTCCTCCGATCAACACCACACCCCTGCTGTTTTTACTTTGTTCACCAATTTTCTTTCTTGAATCTGTGATATGCGTAGAATTTGACACAGCTATTTCGCTTGAAAAAAGAAAACAGCTGCTTCTTAACCTAATCTTAATCTGTCTAAACTAAGACGATCCATTTGGTACGTTCACATTTCTGTTGCAGGAGGCGCTAATCCAAACAGTGGGACTCATACAGAAGTGAGCTGACTTTAACAGTGTTTTAGATACATTCTATTTAACACTAGCGTTTTCAAATCAAAATAAAAAAAAATCAGAACAATAGAAAACACAGAAACTGTTTAGTAGATCCCCCACAGTGGCACCTGGTGTTCTCAGAAGTCTCCCATCACAGTACTTACAGGCTCTGCCCAGCTTATCTTCAGGGGTCTGACAGGTTATTAAGATTAAGACTAAAAGATCCTTTATTCGTTCCACAGCGAGGTAAATTTCAGATATGGCTTTCACATAAAGGTGGCGCTAATTCTCACTAGATAAGAAAGAAGAAACATGAAAATATCAATACAATGTCTTACCTGTGAGTGTCTGGTGATGAGAGGCTGCTCACAGAGAAACTCCTCTTCAGAAACGGTCCAGAAATATCGTCCGGCTAAGTGCTGAGGAGACGCACAGGTTTCCAAATCATCCTCTCTCCTCAGGCGTCGCAACCAGAGCAGCTCGCAGTTACACCTCAACGGGTTCCCCCCAAAACTCAACGCGAACGAAGACGGACCCATGCTGCCCGACGTGGCCAAGACCCCTGCCCTTTGGAATACCGGGTCGGGGGGAAGTTTCTGCAGCTTGTTCGACGTCACATCCAGTCTTTTCAACTTCTGCAAACCGGAAAAGGTACCTTCTGGGATGTAGCTTAGCATGTTGTGATCCAAATTCAGCGTGTGTAGGCTGGACATTCGCTGGATCGCCACCCAGGGGACGCTTTCCAAGTTGTTATACGACAAATCTATCTCTTCTAACGCGGTGAGATCGTTGAACGCGCCAATTTGAATGTGCGTGAGCTGGTTGTTGTTCAAGATGAGGTGATGGAGCTTGGACATGCCGCTAAAGGTGTCGTTGGTGATGCGCGTTAGCCTGTTGCTGTCCAAGTGAAGCGCTCGTAGATTCTCCAAGTCTTTGAATGCGTGCGGTGTTATATTCCCGATTGTGTTTCGAGACAGTGTCAAGTCAACCAGCTTGGTCATATTGGCGAAGTCTTTGCGTTTGATGTTGGTGACAAAATTATCTCCTAGTCGCATCTCCACTGTGTGCCGGTCAATGTTAGGAGGGACGAATAGGAGACCCTTTTTGTCGCAGAGTGTGGCCAGGTTTGGGTTTAAGACTTGGCAGACGCAGCGTTTGGGGCAGATCTGAACTTTGTGGGCCTTTGACGCCGCCATGCCCAGCACCATCATACAGATCAGTAACGATTCCATCTGGCTTCGGGCTCAGGGCAACACTCCTGGGGAAAACATAAGAGAAATATGTCAGTTTGGGATTCCTTATACAATACAAAAGGGCACAAATCAAATCACCACAGCAGAAGGACTGCCGACACAAAGCTCAACCACACAAAGCCTTTTTCCAGAATTAGTAAGCAAATGGAGGAACGTCCCAAAGCATACCCTGTTTTTAGTTTGACAGGTCTGACAGGTTTCACATGTCATTATTCTTTCATTCCATACACAATGGTGATAAACTATTGTAGCCAGAGCTGCCCTGGGGCACACTGACAGAGGCTTTTGTCAATAGTTATCTGTCACAGATTACTACAATAAAACATCATCAGTAGGGTAAAACTAACTTGTCTCATGACAGTCTAGCCAACCCATGTTCCCTATTAGTGGGTGAATGTGCCATCGGCCCCTTTGACCACTAGTGTCTTGCCTAAGGACACAACAACAGTTTGGCACTTTTACAGCTACAGCCGGAGCTGCCCCTATGTGGCACCTGGTGTTCTCGGAGGTCTCCCATCACTGAACTAACCAGGCCCTGCCCTGCACAGCTTCAGACAGGATCGGGCTTTCCAATGCAAGCATGGTCACAACCATTCATGTGGTTCACTGTGAAATCACATATTTGATGTAAAAAAGACATTCTCTTAAACGCCATCTCATAACAGCTTTAATTATTCTGACATTTGGATCACACTTTTTGGACTCTCCTGATCAATCATCAGGCGACTGCTAGAGCTGTGTCAAAACAACCTGGAAATTGACCCTCCTTGGACCCTGCTCAGAGTGAACACGCTGAAGCAGGAATTTGTGCATGGAGTTGTACAGGGGTAAACAGCACGTTCTGCTACAATACTTGAATTGCAAGATCATGGCACACCGCAGGGACAAGGGGAGATCCCGGGGCAGACAGACCTTTGCTTGGGGAACTAATGAAGAGGCTGAAGGAGGTCATTGGAACCACGATTGTGGAAGGAAAAAGCCTGGTGCATGGTTCCATTTATGTCATTTTCATTTGTGTATATAATATGGATTATTTGCAAACATATTCTGGAATCGTTGTTGATCCACATCGTTTCATCATAGCCTGGTCGTACCACAGCATAGTACAAATGACATTTTGTACTAAGGTTTGGATTTGCTCCATTGAGCTCCGTTTACAGGTGGGAGGGGTTAACTCCTTTTGCAGATTGAAACGATTGGATCTGAGTTTACCGTGACGTATGCAATGCGCCAGAGTCTATTGTTAGCATTTAGCATTTAGCCTAGCCCTCTCCTTTGCCGCTAACAAAGCCCGTGGGGAGTAGTGCCACAATTTATTCTAGCGATTACATTTGCTAAACATTCCTCTTGCTCCGGCTTCAATTTCTTGATAGAACCAGACCGGATTACTTTACTATCGCATTTTTCGCCATTGCCAAACTACGACCTTCCCGTTCGATGCAAACTCTTGACGTCACCCACAACTAACTACAACACCTGCCTTCCGCGCTCGCTGATAGGTCGGTCAAAATTCAACCGATTGTAATCGCTAACCCAGGAACTAGACCCAGACGTTATATGCAGTGAAATGATTGAGCGGAGTGTACGGATGGCTAAGGCCAGGCTAGTTTCATTCCATAGATGCTCAAATTTGTGCCGGCACTTTCCAGCTCAGCTCATTTCAAGACAAGAACATGACAGAAGTCTTCTCCAAAATGGGGACTTAAAAATACACCGATTCTGATGATTAGACACTGAATCTGATGTAGATTTATTTACAGATTGGGTTCAATTAGGGTTAAATGATTTTTGTGTGGTGAATTCTCTGAATTGATACACAATATTTTTCCACATGCTTCTGGAATTCTGGCTCATGTAACTGAGGAATGCTGCTGCCTCTGTTTTCCAATATCCTTTACTGTACACATATTACGCGTGGTGCCGTCTGTCCAGATCCTACACTTTTGATGACCACTGCTGAGCCTAACACTTTGCGTGATGAAAAACTTAAATAAAACAAAAATCAGGCATAGATCTTTCAGTTCAGTTCAGAGTTCAAGCTGTCCAGACACTTTCACAAGGCATTAGGCTTTACAATTTCACAATAACTATTTCCAAATGTAAATGTAGGGAGATAGATTGATTGATTGATTGATAGATTGATTGATCAATAAATACTTTTTTTTATCCCATAAGGGGAAATCACTTGAGTAAAAATACCGAACAAAATAGAGTATGAATATTTCTCTGCATTGTGTAGAAAACCTATAGCTGCACACATTTTTTGTTGTTTTTTTTTGTTGTTGCTGCAGTACAGGTTTTGCACTGGTCCAGACTGCAGAGGAAAGGATTCATGGTCCGAACCAAGTAGCTACTCCACCTTGTGACCTGTCCTGCTCCACCCAGAGGCTACTCCATCTGTGCTGCTGTGACCCGTCCTGCTCCACCCAGAGGCTACTCCATCTGTGCTGCTGTGACCCATCCTGCTCCACCCAGAGGCTACTCCATCTCTGCTGCTGTGACCTGAAGGGCTGTTGCTGATTATTACTATTGTTAGCTTTTTAGAATGATCAATTTTATTTTTAGTTTTGCTGCTACTAGACACCTGAAATTCTCCTACGGGGATCAATAAAGTATCTATCTAGTTTTGAGTCGAGTGGCACCTAGAAATGCCCCTGGTCAAATTAAATGACACTCTTTTATTAATTAGCCTGGAGTTCAGTTTATTGAAACAGTAGGGATAGAATAGTGGTTAGTTACAGGCTTAATTAGATCAGAGATGTTGGATAAGATGTCACGTTACGGTACAATGACTGTCAAACTTCTTCTACACACTATCACGCTCACTCAAAGATGCATATAGTAACAAGGTCGAGCACTTAAATTCAGTTAGTTCCATCAAAAAGCCATGCCAGTGTGTAAATTCTCTTATCAAATAAAGCGTAGCTGCCTGATTACTCACAGTGACAAATCCCCTTCTGCAGAGGCACCAGCCGCTTTCTCTGATTTAAAATATATCTGCCAACAAACACTCCAGATTATGTACTTTGCAGCAGTCTAAGTAAACGCTGTGAGAGCAATTAAGGACAAAAGCACTGCTCCCCCTCCCATTAAAGACAGGATGCGTCCCATATGCTCGTGTGGCATGTCCTTGTAGGCAAAGGTCTCACTATGGCTGTATTTGTGTTTGATCCCTCTGTTTGCCATATTGTGGAATAATCTTATTTAGACAAAACAGTCAGATCAACATCTATTCAATATGTGCAGGACATAGTATTATAATGCAATATTCAGAGGGCTGTCTACTAGCAGCAGTGGGAAAAAGCTATACTGTGTTAAAAGATGTATAGTCTAAACCTCAACCATAGTCTCAGCCTTAAACATCTTTACTCCTAGAGACCACATAATTACACAAAAAAGTGGGACTTATATAGATACAGTATATGGAGAGGCTCAAAAAGTCTTAAGGCAGTGGTATGGATCCCAATAAATGTTGTAGATGATTTCAGAGGGTCCGCACATATCTAGGACTTGCATTAATTTATAGAGTCCCCTCATTACAGAGAACTTCGTCTTCCATACAATATTTTTCTAAGCATTTCAATTCAGTAAAAAATAAAGGCCCTTAATCTAAAAACTACAACACTATTGATGCATTTATATATTTCTGCCCCTGTTACAGCACAAAGCTAACCCTGTTGTAACAAATGGCTATATAAGGGAATCGGCTGAGCTACTTCATGTTCAAATCAGCTTCTTCTACATTCTGGGAAAACGTTAGAACTCAATCAGTCCACTCCTATGTAGTATACAGTGTAATGTAATAGGATCAAAAACAAATTCAATCAGTTTGGATTTTTTTTCCTAAAAATCTAATAAAATCCATCAAACAAAACAGAAAATGAATCAGCGGAGATCTTTCCCAGGTGTCTCTCCCCCAACGCTGTATTACAATGGGCTTACTCATGATTGGTTTACATACAGTAAAATCCTATCTGTTCTTCACACAGTATTTCCACTATCTTTCCGGCTCACTCAGGTGCGTGTCATGATTTTATTCCCCGCGACACCTATTGCTATGTGATAACAGTTCCCACCTTTGCTCCATGCATCCTATCACTGACAGCGCCATGTTTGTAATGTACATGATCTATTGCTGTTTGATCAACGTTTGGGGAGGCCTCCATCATAAAGACAGCTCTTCCTTGGCTGCTTTCACCTCAGACAAAAGGCATGTGTGTCCTCTGTGTAGGACAAGTCAATATTATTCTGTTATTCAACAATAATGGCACTGTGGCACCCAGCGCTTCTGTGGCAACACCTTCAAAAAGCTTTTCAGTCCTTGGCTATGTTTGAGTCCAAGTTGAAAACGGTTGTGGATATGACTAACAGCATTTATGGTTTAATCTTGTACTTGTTTTTACTGAATTTGTAATACAAATTGTTTCATATGTATTCTTTATTTTTTACTGTCTGTTTTTTAATTGCCATGTAGGTTAGTTAAATAAACTTGATTGATTGATTATTAGAATTTGTTGTATCTTTTTCATAGCTGGAAGAAAGAACTTTGTGATTTTATGATTTGGGCTGAAAGCTGATTGGCTGATCCTCTTCTGAACAAGCTGAATAAATATGTGACTGAGGCCAAAAATGTATGCATTTGAAAACTAGTGGTAGAACCAAACTTAGTTTTGGTTGAATTACTGTGATGGGAGCGTTCTGGGAACACAAGGTGCCACAGTGGGGCGGCTGTAGTGCCAAACTATTGTTGTGTTCTTAGGCAAGACACTTCACCCACATTGCCTCAAATGAGTCTGGTGTGTGTGAATTGTTGGTGGTTAGAGGGGTCTATGGCACATACTGGTCCAATCAGAGAGCAGAATGAGGTCCCAAATTTAGCTGGTATTAGCTCTATATGTTTAGATGAAAGTAGATGCAAACATAAGCAGTCAGTACGATTTTTAGCAAAACTCCAACAGGCATCAGTGCTCAGGAGCTAA